ACGAAAGAGGGGGAGGCCTTCAACGAGATGGATTGATAACGGTGGCTGCGATGATGGGCTCAAGTATAGCAGGGATTGTGGGGCTGGCGCAGGATCGGGCAGTGTTTCGTTCTGCTGTGCATGGGGTCGCTATGAGTCGGAAATGACTCGACAGCACTTAACAACAAGAACAACAACAAATCAATAAACTCAGACTGATCCAGTGTTACATTCCTTACACCATTATCCCATACCCTCAGTAGCCATTCCCATACATATTCTCCAGGTTTCTGTCTGTACATGTTAGCAAAATCAAGTAGGTCTTTTCCAGTATAGCGTACCACCTCCTCAGTCACACTTTATATTTTACCTTTTGGGGCTCGTTTGGACTTAAGTTTAGTTATAGGACTAGCGGCAACAACAACGGGTGGTTGGGCAGTTCCTGAGAACATTCAGCAATGTCTTCCATGGCCTCTGCCTCAGGCAATGTCCCAGCAGGAACAGTTGGGGTAATCCCATCAAACAGAGGTGGAGGGGATAATGGTTTTACAGTAATCCCTTCAGATGGGAGGGATTCAACAGAGTACAGGCTCCATATCTTGATCTTCCTGGCTGTCTGCCCATATGTCCCCATTCCAGGTTTCAGGATCCCATTTTTTTCCCAATCAATTCCCTCACTTTAACTTCAGACACCATTCCGGGTTGGTAATTTAATTGGCGTAATTCAGCCACCCTTACAATAAGACTCTGGGTTTGGTTTTTGGCAATATCAGCTCTGTTACTAGAAAAAATAAGGCTTTCTTTCAGGGCATGACTGGAAACATTGAGGTCTTTTATGTGGCACTTAAGCTGTGACTCAGCAGCCATGAGCTCATCTCGCTCTTTCACCACTTTGTCTAGTGTAAGTAGGACCAACCAACCAGCTTCCTTATACTCCTCATGCTGACAAAATTGCAGAAAAGTATCAAATATGTGATAATCCAGAGGCTCACTTCTGAAAAGTACTTGATCTGTTGTTGGTGGTATTTTGCACATTAATATTGTCACCTCATGCCACAGATTAGCAGGGCCCTCTTTACTAGCGCAGGCAGGGTCACCAGTGCCTTTACGATTAATCTAATTGGAGAACCAATTTAGGAATCCCATCCTTATGATTTTTTCTCTCTAGAGCGACTCCTGGTACCAAATGTGTTAGACTGGGTTCTCTAGAGAAACAAAACCAGTAAAGCTTATATATAAAGAAAAGAGAAATTTATCTTAGGAAAATGGCTCACACACTTATAGAAGCTGGCAAGTCCCAAGTTCTTGGATCAAACGTCAAGGTGGAGGCTTTTCCCAACTCACGCAGCTGCAGGGGCTGAGAAGCTCAAGGTTGAAAGGCAGTATACTGGCAGTTGACTCCAACGAATGACGAATCCAAGATCTCTAGGCCAAATGGTGGATTGTTGGCTCACGGACAGTTGTAGGCAGCATAACAGAATCCCGATCCACAGAAGAGTGTCTCTTTTCCCAGGATGTTCATAAATACATCAGAAGTAGACCACACCCCTGGGGAAACTCCCTTTCAATGGACAGCTGCTCTAAACATATTCATCTGATCCCATCATGGGAATAACCATATCACAATTGCTTAAACCACAAAGAATTGTGGTCCAACCAAGTTGACACACAGCTCCAACTATCACAGGAAGATTACTGTATATGGAGTACTGAGGTTTGGATGACAGTGATGGAAAACTTGCACTGATTAAGGGCAGGGTTGCACAGTTGATTAATTGTTATCAATAAGTTTATACACCTGTAAAAATTTGAATTGGCTTAAGTTGTGTGATAAATATATTTACAACAATGACCCAAAAAAAAAGGAGTAGCTACTGGGCTCAGGTATAGCAAGGATTGTGTGGCTGGTGCAGGACCGGGCAACATTTCATTCTGTTGTACATAGGGTCGCTATGACTCATTGGCACCTAACAAGAACAGCAACATCAGCAAATCTTTACAGAAAAATAGATTGCTTCATTTTCCTTCCACCGAGTGGCTGGTGGGTTTGAACTGCCAATCTTTTAGATCAGTGCTTAGGAGAGGCCTTTCTTAGAGCAAAACTCCATACATTCCCCTAAAGCCTTGAGAAATGTGTCAAGACTAAAATGCATGTTTTCTGTACCTAAATTATAATTTGTAAAATATTAGTGGTGGTGATCACAAGAGTATCAGTTTAGAAAAATATCTTGAAAAGTTGTAAGTACTGAATTTTTAACATGAGAACTTGCCAGTTCCCTACCTGTGCAATTTTTGTAAACCATCAATTCCTATTCAGTCGTTTGGCATATGTTACTACATGTCTAGATGTGCTAGGTACTATGGTAGATTTTCTTTTTTTCTGTCTTGGAAGAAGTACAGCTAACATTCTCCTTAGAAGCCAGAATGGTAGACTTTCTCTCTTGTACTTTGGTCATGTGTCAGGCAGGAACAGTCCCTGGAGAAGGATATCATGCTTGGCAAATAGAGAGTCAGTGATAAAGAAGAAGACCCTCCATGCAGTGGATTGACACAGTGGCTGCAACAGCAGTCCCCAAGCATAGCAGTGACTGTGAAGATGGTTCAAGACCAGGCATTGTTTCATTCTGTTGTGTATGAGGTCACTGTGAGTCAGAACTGACTTGACGACACCCAACAACAACAAAATAGAGAAGAATATTTCTGTTTAAGTTATCCACCTATTCCATTTCTGTTACAGTGGGATTAGATAACTAAGACACCTTCTGTGGAGTGCCCCTCCCCCTTCATGTTTTGCTGAATCTGGGCCACATTTTAGTACAGTTGGATTATCAGAACTGCTGAGTCTCAAGTTTGCAGCTTCCTTATTTTCTGCCCTCCCGTGAGTGACAAGAAGTGTCTCCAGCTAGACTTCAGATTTGGTGGAGACTGAGCTGAGTGAGGTAGGGAGATATTCAAGGTAGAGTCTCTTCTATCTCTCATGGCTTCCCAAACTTGATAATTTGGTTCCTTTGGCAACCTAAGGTGTTCCACAGAAGCTGCAATGTATAAATATGGAACTTCCTACCTCTCACACACAAGTAAAATGAATCTAGAGAAGGTAGGGTTGTTCAGTGGTAGAATTATTGCCTTCCATGTAGAATACCTGAGTTTGATTCCTGTCTAGTATACATCATATTTATCCACCACCTGTCTGTCATTGGTGGCCTGCGTGTTGCTGTGATGCTGAACGGGTTCAGTGGAACTTCCAGATTAAGATGAAGGAGAAAGAAAGTTCTGGTGATCTACTTATAAAAATCAGCTAATGAAAACCCTATGTATCACCATGGTCTGACCCACAACTGGTCGTGGGGATAGGGCAGAACTGGGCAGGGTTTTGTTCTGTTGTGCATGAGATCCATTGTGAGTCAGAGAGGCTTGGAGGAAATGAATACCACCACCACCCACCACCATGGAGTAGATTCTGACTCATAGTGACCCTATAGGACAGAGTAGAACTGTACCATTACTATGGGAAATTTATAAAAAATAAAATAAAAAGTGTAACATTCAGTCATTGCCTTCAAGGAGCTTAAGTTTTGTTGAGGAGTTAAGATGTGACCATGAAAAGTTATATACATTATATGTCATAATAATTTTATATATATAATAAATGCAATGTTGGCAAGTACCTTTGATCAAGGGCAAAGCAAGCTATTAAGAAGAATGGTGGTGCTCGTACTGGGATGGATTGACTGGGATGGCCTCTTAGGGGAGGAGCGTTGTGAGGTGAACAGGACTTGGAGAGAGGGGTTTGTTCTCATTATTAAAGGTGTTTAGCAAGGAGGATCCTGGCATTTCACAGAATGGTTTTGCAATAGAACACACTTGTGTTTACCAAGCATTTCTAGGAAAATGCTTCAAAATGGGTTGGTGCTTTAGCAACTCAGGAGAATTGGTAGGTTGAGACAAACTTCGGCTCAGTTTAATGTTGAAAACTACACATTGTTTTTCATTTTTAGGCAACTTTAAACCAGTGTGATGGCAACGCCTGTCAATGGTGTTCACCAGGATACTGACCTCTGGACCTCGCATAATAAGATGCTGGCAGAGCCTCTGAAAGACAATGATGTTGAGGTGGGGTGTCCTAGCCAGTTTCTTTAAATTAGAGGCTTTTGTTTAAATCTCTGGTTCTAGTCATGAATAAACTTTATGAAGGACAGCCTTGTAATTTTATGAGTGCCAGGTTCAGAAGCAGAGGTCAACAAAGTGGCTAGAAGTCCTTTAAGAACAAATTTAAATATCTACGCATTCCCACAACCTGCAGAGCTCTGTACAAGTGCTGTGGAGGAATGGAGAAAGAGAAAAGAGGAGATATCAAATTTAACCCCTTCCTTATAGTTCAGAGGAGAGTATTTCTAGACGCCAAGAGAGAATATATCTAGATGGCTAGAAGTCATCATTTTGCTAGGCAGAAATGTAGGGATAAAAATAAGGTAGTGTAAAATGTGAGTGATCAACACGGTGGCATTTATGAAGAGGAAGACAGAGAGAGAGAGAGGTATATGGGAGGTACAGACAACGAAGATGAACCCTTTTGCACACAAAGTACTGCATTGTCAGTGATGGCAAACATTGATCCACGGGTGGATAGATGGGTGGACGGGCTGAATGATCACGTATGTCTATGCAGGGGGTAATGTGCCCATGACCATGTATAGGGTTGGCAGACAGTGTTTTTACAAGTGTTTTTGTATATTCTGTGAGAATGTCCAAGTATATAGTAGAGCTGACAAGGGACAAGGTTGTGGTGACTTCTTGGCCACAGCCAGCTACCCAGAGGGAACAAGTAGTTGGACCTGTGGGCTCAGGAGCATGGTTGCAGGGGACATCAAGCTCATTTGGCATAACATACTATGCAAAAACATTGTTCCACATCCTGCTTTGGTGAGTAGTGACTGGGATCTTAAAAGCTTGCAAGCAGCCATCTAGATGCAACAATGGGTCTCTTCTCTTCCAGAAAAAAGTAGAATGAAGAAAACCAAAGACACTTGGAAACAATTAGTCCAAGGGACTGGTACACCATGCAATCCTCAGCCTATATGACTATGAGACCAGAAGAACTAGATGGTGCCTGGCTATTACTGTCAACTACTCGGAGGGGGATCTATCCTGGATAGAGTGGAAGAACAATGTGGAACAAAACTCAAAATCATAAAAAAAAAAAAAAAAGAAAAAGAAAGGGGGAGGGGACCAGCCCCTAGCTGCACTTCAGGTCTGGAATTGAACCTGCTCCTGTGGCTTCCAGCCAAACAAAAGACAGGTGTATGACATGAACATTTACATTAGGTAGATACACTCCTTGGAGGAGCTCAATCATGGGATAATAGAAGGGCTGTGTATGCACAAGGAGACAGCTCAGGGAGCAGGAATGCATGGAAGGAAAGGACACAGGGAAGAGGAACTATGGGGAAGAAGTAGAAAGAGAGCTATTGCATTGTGAGAAATAGAAGACAATGTCATGAGACAAAGTATATGTGAACTTCTGTATGGTAAATTAATTTGCTTTATAAACTTTCACCCAAATCACAATAAAAATTTTTTTTAAAAAATGAGGTAGTGTAGAATTAAGAATCAGGCAGGATACTTATTTTAAAAATCATTTCTTTGAAGTCATTTTGTTTTCCTTGAATCAGCGTCTGCTGTTAGTTCTTTACCTGATGGTAAAATTTGTTAAAAGATTTATGCTATTTCTTAAGTGTTAGGGGACTCTTCTTAATTTGATTATTTAAGTTATGGTTAGCTTCTGAGGGCAAAATATGAATCTGTAGTAATATTTCTTATAGGAGATTGTTGCTTTAATCAGAACAAAATTTTAAACTAAAAATCCAGATGTTGAGTGTTTGTTTTATTCTCACAAGGTTTACAACATCATTAAGAAGGAGAGTAATCGGCAGAAGGTTGGATTGGAGCTGATTGCCTCAGAGAATTTCGCCAGCCGAGCTGTTTTGGAGGCCCTGGGCTCTTGCTTAAATAACAAATACTCTGAGGGGTACCCAGGCCAGAGGTATGTGAGTGTATCAAGACTGGGTGCTCAGATGTGGGGCTTTCTACTCCATTCCTGCTCTCTGACGTAACTCTTATTATGCCCAGCACATGATACCACTGGTATTCTTGGAGCAGATATAAGTGCTCATGTTCACATTTCCCAGTCCCTTGAGAGCTTTGTAGAATGACAGGCTAGTCTAAGAGGAGTGCTGAGCTGTTAGACTATTGTGTGACCTCTATATTGAGAAAACCTAGGCTCTGGAGTAATGCCATGGATGGTAATTGTTGTATGTGAATAATTGAATTGATATCAGGAGTGGGCAATGTTTTGGCCTTCTAGTGCCATTATTAACAGACATACCACAAATGTATGGCTTTAACAAACAGGAGTTGATTCTGTTACAATTTTGGAGGCTAGAAGTCTGTTTTGGTTATCTCTAGTGCCTCTTTGACAGAAAAAATACCACAGGAAAGTGGCTTGTACAAACAGGAGTTTATTCTCTTCCAGTTTACAAGGCTAGAAGTCTGAATTCAAAGTGCCAGCACTAAGTGAAAGCCCCTCAACCTTGGGCTTCAGCTCTGCTTCTTACTCCCGATCCACTGAAGCTGGAGGCTTCTCTTAACTTGGGCAGCTGTTGGCTGCTGAGACTGACAAACTCAAGGTCAACAAATAAAATGGCACAGTTCCAAGATTACCAAACAACATGGCAAGACACTAGTTCAACTCCAGAGACAGTGCCAAGATTGGCAGGAAACATGGAAGGCTGCTGAATGAAAACTCGGCTATATGCAGGATCCAAGCATGCCAAAAAGCTCAGGAGACCTTTCTCAGTGCTGCTGCTTATGTACTGGAAGCAGACCACATCCCTAAGGTAGCTACTCAGATGCTCCAATAGATTCTACCATGGAGTTGAATATCAGTCTCATCATGGGGAATAACTACATCCAGCTCTTCAGCCACTCAAAACCAGGCCCCACTGAGTTGATACATCCCACAGCCAAGAAATGAAAGATGACTCTGCAGTAGTGGGAACCATCTCTGCATTATAAATGTTGGATTGTGTAAATCCATTAGTGATTTTTAGTTAACTCTCACTCTGAGAACTGTGATAAATTATATTCCTTTTTGTTTGTTACAGTCCTTTAAACAAAACAAAACCAAACTTAATACCACTGAGTCGATGCCAACTCATAGCAACAACCCCCTTTAGGTTTCCAAGGTGGTAAATCTTTACGGAAGTAGACTGCCTAGTCTTGCTTTCTTAGAGTGGCTTGTAGGCTTGAACTACCAACCCTCTGGTTAGTAGTCAAAAAATACAGAATGCAACAAAATTTTGGCTCATTTGTTCATCTGTGTCATTGGGACATGGAAGGATCATACTTGGGGTATAAACTGCCATTTTAGCCTGAGACATCTCCAAAGCACTATGTAGAAGGGCTGAGAATCAAGGTGAAGAAATTGTCTTTTTCCTACACTGAACTGTGTGGTTCAGTAGTAGAATTCTCACCTTCCACACAAGAGACTTGGTGGATCCACCTGGCCAGTGCACCTCAGGCACAGCCACCTATCTGTCCATTAGTGGAGGCTTGCATGTTGTGTATTACCAGACAGGTTTCAGTGGAGCTTCTAGACCAAGAGAGACCAGGGAGAAAGGCCTGATGCTCTACTTCCGAAAGTCAGCCAGTGAAAACCTTATGGATCACAATGGTCCAATCTGGGGCAGAATTTTGTTCCACTGTGCATAGGGTTGGCATGACTTGGGGGCTGACTTGACAGCAGCTAACAACAGCACTGTGAACAACTAACTTTTGCATTGTTCTTTGAAGAGTTTACTGGGTGTCTTCACAACTAGTATCTCTTGATCCTCACAGCAAACCTGTAAGGCAAGTAGTACTATTTCTCATATTTTGAATCTGGGGAAGCTGAAAGTCACTAAATGAAGTGACTTCTTAAGATTACACAGCATGGAAACCACACAGGCTTCATGCTGGTAGAACTAGCGTTTGAATCCAGACTCAGATACCAAATCCCAAACTGCCTAAGAGATTCCAATATTTCTAGTTGATCTCATAGTAAACACTCCGTGACAGTTTCTGGGATTTTCACCTGGCCCGCTGAATATGTCTATAAAGAGGTGAGGTGGATGATTTCTGGGCCCAGTAAGGTGTTAATATTGCCATATTTTCACTGCTGAAATTTAAGCGTATCCTTTAATCATTTGTAGCATTTCTCCTCCTCTGTGATTGCTCAAATGAGGAGTAACCACCTTATTTCACGTAAGGTTAATTTGAAGAACATGATTTACATCTCTGACCAAAATCAGCTTCTCGATCTTGCTCAGAACAGAATTTCCATGTGAGATCAGAGACTTAGCAGCGGGGAGCTGCTCTAACTTAATAATTGAGTACTTGCTGAATATCATCAGTCCAAAGCACTTGCTTTTTCCCATTTCAACATCTCTGAAACTGGAATCCATCTTATAATTGATGCCAACCAAAAATATTTTAAAAATACCAAACCAGTTGCCATAGAGTCCATTCCAACTTGTGGCAACCTTGAATATTACAGAATAGAATGCCACTTCATAGATTTCTCATGACTGTGACCTTTGGCAAGGAAATTACCAGGCCTTTCCTCTGAGTGGTTTCAAACTGCCAACCTTTCAGTTAGCAGCTGAGCACCTTAACCATTTGTACCACCCAGCTGGAGGGACTCTAGCTGATGGCAAGTCATCATTTAATTGACAGTACTCTTGGCCTTCTCAGTGACTAATAAAATAACTGCCATTTTATAATTGAGGGCATCTTAAATTGATGACTGGAATGCTGTGTTCTGAGCATTAGGCTGAGCATGATCACACACATCCTCTCTTTTCACTCCACAGCTTTACTTCCAGGTCAGCATTGTTCTCCCCTCTTAGAGGCTAAGGAGGCTGCACTAAGTCACAAAACTTGAGTAGCAGAACCAGGAACTGACTACATCTGTGACTGTGAAGCACCAGCCCTTTGCACAGTTTCCTGTTGCTGCAGTTGGCTCAGTCCATGGAGCCAGGCAGGAGTATCGAGGCCTGATCTTGTGTCCCCCGCTCCATCCCACCCTGTCCCTATATAGTCTATAAGGCTGTCTGTGATTCTGCTGTCCTGAGTATGGCTGCTCACCAGCCTGTGGAGACCCATCTTTTATTGGCCAGAGGTTGGGAGGGGCCTTCAGATGATTGAGTAAAGCCCTCTCACTTTTTAAGGCTCGTTTTATGATTTTATTTATTATTTAACTGAACCAAATATAATTCTCATTGAAAACTAAATAAAATAAAAGCAGGGACTCAGACAGATACTTGTACACACCAGGATTCATAGCATTATTCACAGTAGTCAGAAGGTGGAAACAATCCAAATGTCTGTCAACAGATGAATGCAAAAACAAAATGTGAGCTATCCATCATTGATAAGGAATAAAGCTCTAATACATGTAACAGCACGGATGAACTTTGGAAACATGCTGAGTGAAATAAGCTAGGCACAGAAGACAAATATTAGATGATCCCACTTAAATCTAGAATAGGCAAATGCATAAAGACTGAAGTTTTTAGTGGTTCCCATAGGCTTGGGGGAGAAAGGGATGGAGAACTATTGCTTACTAAGCACTGCGTTTATGCTTGGGATAATGAAAAAAATTACAGAAATAGGTAATTGTGATGTTTGTACAACATGGTGAATGTAATTGATGTCACTGAACTGTGCACTTAAAAATGGCAAATTTGGGGGACTTTTGGTAAGATGGAGGAATTGGCAGACAAGCGACACAGATCCTCTTCAACAAAGAAAAGAAAAACCAATTGACAGAGATACAGAAGATAATCCTGGAACCCTGAGCTTTGAAAGGAACTATACAGAAGTGGATTAGGCACCAACTAATGGAAAAACCTGAACGAAAACACTGAGTACAGAGATGGTTGGAGCTGCGGACTGCCAGCTACTCTGACGAGACCAACAGCCTGAATATTTCCAAGTGGTGCTGGGACCTGAGAATTGACAACCGCTCTGGTGGCCTATGACAAGGAAGGGAAACAGTAAGGAGGGAGACACCCTAAGCTATGGATTTTCTGCTGTCTGGAGGGCGCAGCCATTTTGATTGTTTACACATGGCAGCCATTTTGGATATTTAAAGTGACTGAAGGCGCAGCCATTTTGAATGTTTATAAGTGGCAACCATTTTGGATTTTAAAGTGGTAGGATTCTCATTCAGATTCCAGGGACCTAAGAACAGGCTCTGTTTACCAGGGTTGACAAAGACATATGAGAAGCTGACAACAGGAAAGGAGACAGGTGGTAAGTGTGTAAGTGCTGTCAGCTAGTGAATAGAGGAACACAGCACAGTACCCTGCCTGTATAGATAACATACAAACAAAACAAAAAAAACTAAAATTGTGGACAAGTCACTCCAACATATAATCACCAATTAAATATAAACACAAAAACGTCACAATGCCTTGGAGACAACAGAGCATCACAGTTCACACAAAGAAGCAAGGTAAAGCAGGAGAAACAAGGGAGCAGGATACAGACCCAAAACACATCCCTGAGGAAAACATAGCATTGGAACTCTCTGATAAGGAATTCAAAAGAATTATATTTAGGTATCTTCAAAGGATTGAGAGACTAAGGAAAACACAGACAAAAGCCTAGGAGAATTTTGGAAGAAAATACAAGAACAAAATGACAAAATAAATGAAAAATTAGAAATTATTCTAAATCTACAGATAGAAATCCAGAAGATTAATACTAAATTGTCAGAAATAGATGACACATTGAAAGGGCAAAGGAGTAGAATTGATACAATGGAGGACAGAATTGATAAGATTAAAGACAAATACCTGAATACTTCTTTGGAAAGGGGTCAATCAGAAAAAAGATCAAAACAAAATGAAGAAAGTTCATGTGGGATACCATCAAAAGGAATAACCTACGTGTCATTGGAATTCCAGGACAGGAAGAGAAAAATAAAACCACTGAGAAAATTGTCCAAGATTTGTTGGAAGAGAACTTCCCTGATATGATGAAAGATGAGAATATATCCATTCAGGAAGTCTGATGAACCCCAAACAAGATAGACCACAAAAGAAAAACACCAAGACATATCATCATCAAACTCACCAAAACCAAAGACAAAGAAAGAATCATGAGAGCAGCATGGGAAAAACGAAAAGTTACCTACAAGGGGCAACCAATAACACTAAGCTCGGATTTCTCAACAGAAACCATGCAGGCAAAAAGACATTGGGATTATAAAACTCTGAAAGAGAAAAATTTCCAACCAAGAATTATGTACCCAGCAAAATTGTCCCTCAAATATGATGGTGAAATTAGGACATTTCCAGATAAGCAGAAATTATGGGAATTTGTTAAGACCAGACCAACCTTATGAGAGATGGTAAAGGGAGCCCTTTGGACAAAGAAGCAACAAGAGCCAACAACAACTGACCATTAACACACATGATGATATAACCCAGAAACCAACCCAGCTACGGAAGTGTCCAAAGTAAATAAGCCTACAAGATTGTAAACAAGGAACCAGAGACACCAACCAACACATGAGGACAACTACATACCAAAAAGAGGGAAAAAAAGTCTGTGTCGTTACAGAACTTCTAGATGGTGGGGAAGTCAAGACAACTACAAGATAGAACGAACTGTTCTAAACTTGGGAAGAAAACTATAAATCACAGGGTAACCTTGAAGAAAATGATAAACCTTCACATCAAAATAAAAAAGAGGACCAGCATAAATATTCAGCAAATACTAAAACAATAGCAATGAAAAAAGTGATAACATGATTCATAAACAAAACAAGCTCAGCATAGAAAATTATATGGAAAAAGAAATCAACACAATGAAAAAGCACATGACAAAAATGACAGCAACAAATTTGCTGATAATTACATATCTGGCAAGGGACTTATCTCTAAGATTGATGGAAAACTCCAATGCCTCAATACCAAAGGAATTAATAATCCAATTGAAAAATGGGGAGAAGACATGAATAGACACTTCACCAAAGAAGATATTCAGGTGGTCAGCTAATACATGAAAAGATGCTCACAATCATTGGCTATCAGAGAGATGTAAATCAAAACAACAATGGGATATACCATCTCACCCCAGCACTGATGGCAAGGTTCAATGAGACAGAAAATAACAAATGCTTGTGGGGATGTGGAGAGATTGGGACTCTCATACACTGTTTGTGTGACTGTGAAGTGACACCACCACTGTGGAAAGATTGCTTAGAAAGTTGGAATTGCAGATACCATTTGACCTAGCAGTCCCATTACTAGGTATATATCCTAGAGAGGTGAGAGCCAGGATAGGAACAGACACATGCCTGCTCATGTTCATCACAGCAGTATTTACTATTTACTATTTACAATAGCAAAAAGATGGAAATAACCTACGTGCCCATCAGCGGAAGAGTGTATGACCAACTATGGTACATACACATACTGGAATGCTATGCAGCACTAAAGAATAATGTAGAGTCTGCAAAACACCACATAATATGGATGAACTTGGAGGACATTATGCTGAGGGAAATAAGTCAAACACAGAAGGACAAATATAGTATTAGTTTGTTGTTGTGGAGGGTCAAGGAAAGGTTTATATATGCAGGGAAACTTTCTTTGTTGGTTGGTTGCCAGGGGTAGGAGGGGAGGGGAAGGGAGGGAACATAAAAAAAAAAAAAAAAGCACTGACCCATGTCACTTTAGTTTTGTGTATTTCACTGTACATAAATTACATTTCAATAAAATGCATTAAATATAAAAAAATGGCAAATTTTATGTTATAAAACAGCTTTATTGAGGTCTAATGCACATTATCATACCATTCACCATTAAAGTGCCCAATTAGTAGACACATCTACTTTTATAAATGAAGATGTAATTGCTCAGAATGTCACAGCTCTCTGGTCTTCTGACATGGCACCATGGGCACCTAGGGGAAGAGGAATGGTGTTGGTACAGGACCCCTCTGAGCTCCCTGCCCACCTCCACAGGTATTATGGCGGAACGGAGTTCATTGATGAGTTGGAGGTTCTCTGCCAGAAGCGGGCACTGCAGGCATATAACCTGGACCCCCAATGCTGGGGTGTCAATGTCCAGCCCTATTCAGGTAAATGTACCTTCTGAGATTCCCTCAGGGCTGATGTCCACCAAGAGAACTGGCTATAAACAAAAGTGAAAAATAAGCCAAACCCTTGCTAGTCAGGCACAATCCCTTGCCTATGGGTTTCCAGCTGCACTGCCCCTTTCCTTGGCAGTTGGCAGTTGGCAGTTCTTTCTCCCAATGTTCCCTCTCCCCTCACTTATTCTCATGGAGATGGGGCAGGGGACCCTCCTGGGGTTCATGGAACCCCTTCTTGGGCATCCATATTGGAGACTGGACCTGTTCTTGCCAAGCCCGTGGGGGCTACATGGCACCTCAGGAGAAGTAACTGTATGTTCTTACCCACCTGTTTCAGGCTCCCCTGCCAACTTTGCAGTATACACTGCCCTAGTAGAGCCCCATGGGCGTATCATGGGCCTAGACCTGCCCGACGGGGGCCACCTGACCCATGGGTTCATGACTGACAAGAAGAAGATCTCAGCCACATCCATCTTCTTTGAGTCTATGCCCTATAAGGTCAGTGCATGCCTCTTTCCATGGCACTCTAGTGTGTTTCCTTGGGAGACCCCAGTATCTGGCTGTACCTGCAGAAATGAGTGTTTTGTTCATGTGGCAATACAAGAAGTCCTCAAGGTTCCCTTTTCTCCTTTTCCTCCCCTGAATAGAGGGGCCTCCTGGGGCTCAGTGGGGGGCAACTGGGATGCAGAGGCAGAGGGACTGCCTTGAGGCAACCATCAAGGAGGTTTCAGCCACACTGGGGATGGCACCTGCTGCACAACTACTGGGGTGGTAACAACCAAGATAACAGTTCCAACCACTAAGTCAACTGCATCTGGATACCCACCCTCACCCCTGCAACAGGTACTACCACTGCAGGTACCACCCTCCCCCAGCTGCAGCCCTGCTCAGAATCCCAGCAGGCCCACAGCTATAAAATCAGCAACATCCGTGGCTCTGGCACCAATACTAGCACCCTGGACATCAGCCACAGCCCTCCACAGCCAGTTAGGGGAGCCCCTGTAGCCACGGAGATTAGAACAGGGCAACACAGCTTGCCTCTCCTCCTCCTCCACCTCCATGCACCTGTAGATGGTAGCTATAGCAATCACAGTCTAGACCCCTGCACTCTTGCTGCCCCCACTGCCTAGACCTACCCTCCACTAGATGTAACCCATATCAGCAATATGCACAGTATGTAACCAGTGTCTGGGTAGTGCAGTTAAGCACTCAATTGTTATCCCAAAGGTTGGCATTTCATACCCACTTGGAGTCATCTTGGGAGACAGGCCTGGTGATCTGCTTTTAAGAGGTCACAGCCTTGAAAGCCCTACAGAGTACAGTTCTACTCTGTACACATGGGGTCACCATGAGTCAGAATTGACTTGAGTACTATAACAACAACTATCAAAACAGTGCCCAGGGCTGCCTGAGGCCCTGTCCATAAAAACAGTGTATTTTAGAGTGTGTAATGGAATTTGAGGGCTCCTGGGAATCATGATAACTTGTCTATGAAGATTTGGGATGATGAACAGAGAAGAGGTTCTTGCATATTTGTCTGTTGTCTAGTTAGTGCACAAGGTGATTCAGCATCATGTCTGGGAAGCTTTGGGCCCTCTTTATTGTCAGGTGTTCTGTTCTGATTCATTTAGTCTTTCCCACCATAAGAACAGTGGTGAACAGTAGACACGGTGTTATTTGCTGATGTGTTCTGTTTTTGGCTTTCAGGTGTCTTTGTTGCATTCTGTTGATAGTTTGATTTTTACTCAGCCTCTATCTCAGTTCTTACAACAGCATATGTGCTCTTTGGTATACAAATGATATTTCATTTCTTTTCACTGAAAGCCTTGATGTTTTCAGTTCAGGTACCATCACTGGCCAAAACTCATCTTGAAGATGCATTTTGAAGCATGTAACAATAGTAACCAGTTGCTGTCTAGTTGATACCAAATCACTGTGACCCCACATATGTCAGAGTAGAACTGTGCTTCATAGGGTTTTTAATGGCTGGTTTTTTGTTTTGTTTTTTCAAAATTAGATTGCCAGGCCTTTCTTCTGAGGCACCTTTAGGTAGACTCAAACCTCCAGTCTTTTGATTAGTAGCCAAGGAAATTAACTGTTTGTACCACCCAAGGACTTGGGAGAAGTCATCATATCCTTGACAGCTGACTCAAAGTCAAGGAGGGTAGGCACAGAGTGGCTAGAGAGAGGAGGCTCAACCGTAGTTTTGCCTCCCACAGGTAAACCCAGACACTGGCTACATCAACTACGACCAACTGGAGGAGAATGCCCGCCTTTTCCACCCGAAGCTGATTATTGCAGGTGACTCGCTGGGCTAAAGGCAGCCTTATTCATTAGCAGATCCCATTTGCCTTTGACAAAATTTACATACAAAGATGCTTCCTGTCCTGTCGTAGCATATTGTCATTTCTGCCCTGGATTGCAGAGCTTCTTAGTCTAAGTAACATTTCTTTCGACAGGGAACCAAACTCTATGTAAGTACCTTGAAATTCAGATGTGGAGTAACAGCTGAAAGGACAAATGTATGTGCGCACCAACATCAGTATTAGTCAGGGGTGATGATACTAGTGAGAGCTGTCCAACCACCAAGACATTGAAGGGGTGGGTCAATATTGTAGTCTTTAGCACTGCTCCATTTCTGTTCTCAAAGATTTTGGTGGGGACAGTTCCAGGCTTTCAGATCTGCGTGTCTGGTGTCCATCTGCACATCCACTGGTCACAGCCCTCTCTGACATGATAGTGTTGTCCCCTTTCAGGCATCAGCTGCTACTCCCGAAACCTGGACTACACCCGACTGAGGAAGATTGCTGATGATAATGGGGCATACCTCATGGCAGACATGGCACATATCAGTGGGCTGGTGGCAGCCGGCGTGGTCCCCTCCCCTTTTGAACACTGCCACGTGGTATCCACCACAACCCACAAGACCCTACGAGGCTGCCGGGCTGGCATGATCTTCTACAGGAAAGGTGTGCTTCCTGTGGGTCTGGGTGCAAATGGGTGGTTTCTCTTTCTCCTTGGGGAATTTACATATGGTTTAGGGAACTGAGACAAACTCTGACCTTGGAACCCTTAAAGATCTAGCCAGGAATAACAGGTTTTACAGAACGGACTCTAGAAGGAAGCCCTGTGCCACAGCTCTCCCATCATTCCTTCTGTGTCTTAGGAAAAGAGGAAGGGAACTGATATGTGTCTGTACTATGCTGTGCCTTTTTCATCTAGTCCTTGCCATGAGAGGCAGATGGTGTTTGAATGGGAAGATGGTGTGCACAGTAAAGCCAGGCAGTGCTCACCATGGAGCCATGATTTTGGTGAACTTGCTGTGCTCTAGCATGTTTCTTCAAGAGAAAGATTCACAGTAACCAAACTATAAGGCACTGATGTATAAGCCATAGTTCTAGAGTAGTAATTTTAGTGAGTTCTTTTCTATTTGTGAAATGCTTAAAACCCCCATCTAGGCTCTCACCTTACTTGAGGAATATCACCTTCAGAAAGCCTAATTAGTAATTAGATCCTCATTCAGCCCATAGTTAGACCTTACAAATGAACCTGAGTCAAAAGAGAAACCAGCCCTGTAGTGATAGATCACTCTTGGCTCTTTTCTCAGCCCCTATTGCTAGATACTCCCACTCGCCTATTCTGCTTCTAGGGGTCCTGATGCCTCCAAGCACACATCTGATGACCTGTTTCTAAGGCTCTTCCCACATGCCTGGAAATAGTCTCCCTTGTTCCATTATGTGTGGATTTTATAAGTGAAGCCAGACAGCTGAAGTGACTCCCAGCTAGGCCTTGCTTGGCCAGTGGCCTAGGGCCATTGTACATCCTCCCCACACCTCATCTCCTCATCTCCAAATGGGGAGTATTATAATAATAGCACCTTTCTTTTCTTCTATTGTAAAGTGCTGATGGCAGTTCCTGACTCACAAGGAGCTCTAGATAAGATGTTAGTGGTAGATACTTCTTGTTACTATTACCTACTTTTTCACAGAGAGGAACTTTATTCTCCTTATCTAGCCAAATGACTTGTGTCCTTCAAATTCATCATCTTGGAAGATAGCCATCTTGGACATTATTTTAGGGAAATATACCCAAGGCATCGTCTCTGTTCCAGTCTCAGTGAAGGACATTTTTAGCCTTTAACTTTCTAAAGCCTGGTTGCAGTCATGTATTAAGACGAGATGCTAGCAAGGAAAACAAGTGTCCAGCTGAGATGCTGAGACCAGTGTTGCAGGGTCATCCCAATATCTCATTCCCAAGAGTGAGGACACTAGTCAAGAAGGGAAGGGCCCTCTATTCTGTGGCATTGGGAACTGGTTCTCTTGGCCACAGGGAATAGAGGCCAGCTGTGTGCTCAACTCCTCACCTCTGCTCTCATGGGAACTTGAACTAGTCTGGGTCTGAGTTTAAGTAGAGAGAAGAACAGAGGGGATACAGCCTATTGAGGTTCTATTCTAAAGTTTTTTCTTCACCTAGGAGTACGCAGTGTGGATCCCAAGACTGGCAAAGAGATTATGTACAACCTGGAGTCACTCATCAACACCGCTGTCTTCCCAGGCCTCCAGGGAGGTCCCCATAACCATGCCATTGCTGGTAAAATGCCCTAAGCCCACTGCCAAAGCCCTTGTAGGCTTTCTGAGAATGCACCTTCAGCTGTATGGCCATCGTGCCATCTAATGGCTTTCCCGACCCCGGCTCATTCCATGACGCTTAATTCCTATCCCACTTTACACCAAGTGTGTGATGGGAGTATACCTACCCAGAAACTGCCAACAGAGAAGAGGGGCATAATTGTGATTGGTGAAAAGTAGGGACAAGAGGGAGATAATGTCCGCTCCATACATATAGCCACTGCTAGGCAAGGCTGTGGGTCAGGGTAGGGGCCTTAAAGTATGTGGAAGAGACATGACAACGAGAAGAAGGCACAGAGTGTGAGAGTATGTCCACACCTGAGGCAGTTGTGTTCGGACAAGGCACCTCTCCCCTGAAAGGTGTTACCTCTCACATCACTGACTCCTGGGTCTGGCTCCACTGTCACCTGGGTGTCTTGTTGCCATGGTCTCCTACGTTTGTGCAAGTGGCTTAGGAAATGCTCTGACCTTCTTGGGGTTATCCCCTGTCTTCTTTGGGAGAAAGCAAGTGATGAAATTTATTCATCTGAGGAGCACTGACAAATGTGTGACCTTTCTCCAGGAAAGCATTAGTCTGTAAGAGGGAACTGGGGGAAGCAGTGAAGAATGGGATTTGAGACATCTGTGCCAACCTCAGGCCATGTCTTCTTTTTCATTATCCTCCAGTTTTCTGTCTTTTAAGTGGCATTCAGGGACCTCTGGTGGCCCAGTGGTTAAAGCATTTGGCTGCTAACTAAAAGGTCAGCAGTTCGAACCCACTAGCTGCTCTACAACAGAAAGATGAAGCAGTCTGCTTCTGTAAAGTTTTACAGCCTGGGAAACCCTACTATTAGTAGTTCTACTCTGTTCTGTAGGGTTGCTATCAGTCAGAATTGACTCAGTGGTGTGGTGGGTTTGGTTTTGGTTTGATAAGTGGCACTCAGAATCAAGCGCAAGATTCCAAAGGTGGTCTGAATGGTGCAGAGTAGAACAGGATTGCACTGCTCATGGACTGAGATCTGAGAAAGCTGCATTATTTGGCAGTTAAGTAATCCGTTTCTTTCATCAGAGTGAAAAGGGATTATTAACTCATCTTGCCCAAGAACAGCTTTATCTGTGGGAATCTTATTAGCAGTAAACTTCCATGCTTGGGGAAAAAGTAACCTCACAAGCAGTTCCTCTACACCATCATTCATTAGAGCAGTGTTCACAATATTGAGGAGGTGGACAAAGCCCACTTGTCTGTCAACAAATGAATGATAAACAAAATGTAGTCCATCCATACAGTGGAATGCCACTCAGCCATAAAGACAAATGAAGTTCTGACACAAATGCCACAACATTTTGTCACATGAAATAAGTCAGACATAAAAGAATAATAGTGTATGATCCCACTTACATGATGAAATATCCAGAGTAGGCAAATATATAGAGAAACAAGTTTATTGGTTACCAGGGCTGGGATGTGTAGGAATGGAAGTTTTTGCTTAAGGAGCAGAGTTTGTATTTCAGGTAATAAAAAGATTTTTGAAAAAGACAGTGGTGATGGTTGTCCAACATGGTGAATGTAATTAATGTCACTGAATTGTACTCTTAAAAACAGTTAAAATGACATACTTTTTGTTATATCTATTTTACCACAATAAAATTTTTAAAACTGGAAGATTAAGAAGAGTACATTAAAAAAAAAAAGGGCAGTTCCTCAGAGAGAGGAGGCTTCTCCAATGAAGAGCTGGAAGTTTAGCCCAACAATTATGTTGTTGTTGTTATGTGCCATCAAGTCAAACCCGACTCATAGTGACCCCTCCTTGGGTTTCTGAGGCAGTATCACTATGGAAGCAGGATTGCCCAACCTTCCTTCCGAGGAGTGGCTGGTGGGTTTGAACCGCCAGCCGTCTGGTTAGCAGGCAAGTGTCTTAGCCACTATGCTACCAGAGCTCCAGGATTAGAAAAATTACCATTTTATGAGAAAACAAATGTAATTCACTGCCCTTTGGTGACATTGAAAAGCAACAGAATAGAAGCATATTTTTTTCTGATTGGTGGTATCTCTTGATTCTTGTCCTGTTTTCCTGACATGTTCTCTCCTACCACCCAGGGGTTGCTGTGGCCCTGAAGCAAGCCATGACTCCAGAGTTCAGAGCTTATCAGCACCAGGTTGTGGCCAACTGCAGGGCCCTGACCCAGGCCCTGATGGAGCTCGGCTACAACATAGTAACAGGTACTAACAGAAGCAGTGTTTTGTTGCATGGCTGGCCCACAGGTGACCTTTCTCCTGTGGGGGCATTAAACCTGATGCCCCCATTCATCCCAGCATGGGGTGGCCCATGGGGCAGTAGCCTGGGCTCTTCTGCTATAGCTGGGTATGGGCTTGGGACACCACGGAAGTCAGCATACCCTCAGGCTGGAGAGCCTCCTGTGTGGTTTCCCCCTTTCTCACACAGTGCTGGCCACCTTCTCTGGGTACCATGATGATAGTCATGGCAGCTGCTATTTGTTACTTGGCTTTAAGAGATAAGTACATACTTACATACGATATAGGGGTCTTGAGATTCAGAGAAGTTAAAGGCCACACAGTATGTGATAGGGCTAGGGTTTGGAACAAGGCATGACTCGTACGGAAGTGCCTCACACTTTCTAAAGGAAAGGTCTTGTCTTAAGGGTAAGGGCATAGAGGATCCCAGGTCTTTGTTTCTCAAGCTTGGACATATACATGAGTCACCTGGGCTGTGGTTAAAATGTAGTTTCTGGGGTTGGGGACCCAAGGCTCTGCATTTCTAAACAGATGCCAGGTAATACTGATGTTGCTGGAACCAAAGCTTGTGTGTATCAAAGTGCTGACTGATGTACACTTTGAGTTGTAAGGAAGTAAAGCAAACTCCCTCCCACCCTAGGTATCCAGTAACAGCTTTGGTAGCCCCTGGTGACTTGGAGAGAAAGTCTCCCACCTATGTGCCCTCCCAAGCCTGCTGTCACTCTAGTCACTTTATCTTTGTTCACTCTGCTCCCTATGAACATGGTCCAGTGCAATAGAGCAGGTAACAGTGGTAATAACAGCAGCCATGTTTGTGAGTTCTGGCACCATGCCTGGCACTTTGTCAGATACAATATACAATATCTTATTTAGACTTCCTGACAACCTTGTGAACTATTGGTCTTTTTTGCAAATAGCCATCTGAGGATCCAAAATGTTGAGCTGCTTGACTGCAGCCACATAGCATAGAGCCGAGACTTAATACACTGGGCCAGGAGGTCCAGAGCTAAGCTACTGATTGAGTTCCGCTGCATCCTGGTCATCTCTGAAGCACACCCCGTGACCAAAGCAAGAGTACTGTTGTCCCCTGGTCAAGAGCCCTAGTTTAACAGAGTTTAAAGTGGAAAGATCCAGGGACTCAGAAAGCAGGCCAAAATGTGGTTGAAACCCTGCATGACTACGGGCCGGTTCCAGAGTATCATCATCTATTCACCTTACAGGAGAAAGGATCAAATATGTGGCAGGCAAGCACAGTGGCTGGCCAGGTGAGGGTGTGCTCAGAGAGGGTAGCTGCCGCATTCCCCAGATAAGCCTCGCAGGTAGCCTTTAACTGATTTCAGACTCTTAGGAAATTGCCAATTATAATCTGGGAGGAAACAGGCCTTTCTGGTATGCTCTTGCTACAGTGCACATTTTACCCATCAGCTTCACATCCCTTCTCCATATGATCGGTTATCTCCTTTTTAAAGTCCCTGCCCTTTCTTTCAAATTCTTAGCTCCTGGGGCATCTTTTTCTTCAGCTACTCTTGTTAGCTGCTATCGAGTTAGCCCCCAACTCAGAAACCCCATACACAACTGAAATGCTGCTTGGTTCTGCGCCATCTCCATGAGCGGTTGCAAATCAGACCATTGTGATTCATAGGGTTTTCATAGGCTGATTTTTGGATGTAGATTGCCAGGCCTTTTTTCCTAGTCTATCTTTGTCTGGAAGCTCCACTGAAACCTGTTCAGCATGATAGCAACACACAAGCCTCCAGTGACCGATGGGGTGGTGGCTGCATATGAGGTGCCTTGGCTGGGAATTAAACCTAGATCTCCAAATGGAAGATAAAAATTCTACCACTGGAGCACATTATGCTGAGCACAATAAGTCAATCACAGAAGGACAGATATCGCATTAGTCTGTTATTGTAAAAAAAGTCAATGAAAGGTTTATATAGGGAAGGAAATTTTTTTTTGTTGGTTTCCAGGGGTGGGAGGGGTGAGTATGGAACACTGTTAGATAGTTAGAGACAAGTATTGATTTGAGTAAAGAGAATCGCAATGTACCAAATGTGAGTGATCAACATGGTGGCATTGAGGAAGAGGAAGGCATGGGGAGGTACAGACAACAAAGATGAACCCTTTTTCACATACAGTACTGCACTGTCAGTGAAGGCAAACATGGCTATATGGGTGGATAGATGGGTGGACAGGCTGAACTATTAGGTATGTCTGTGGAGGCGGGGAGCTCTGATAGCATAGTGCCTAAGGCACTTGACTGCTATCAGAAGGCTGGCAGTTCAAACCCACCAGCCACTCCTTGGAAGAAAGATGGGGCAATCTACTTCTGTAGTGATACTGCCTCGGAAACCCAAGGAGGGGTCGCTGTGAGTTGGGGCCGACTTAACGGCACATAACAACATGTGGGGGCGGGGTGCCTAAGACCACATATAGGGTTGGCAGACAATGGTTCTACAAGAGTATTTGTATGTTCTGTAAGAATTCCCAGGTACGTAGAGCTGACAAGGGACAAGGTTGTAGTCACTTCTCGGTCACAGCCAGCTACCCAGAGGGAGCGAGTAGTTGAACCAGTGGACTTGGGACCATAGTCGCAGGGGACATCAAGCTCAATTGGCATAACACACTACACGAAACATTGTTCCACTTCCTACTTTGGTGAGTAGTGAGTGGGATCTTAAAAGCTTGCAAGCAACCATCTAGATGCAATGATGGGTCTCTCCTCGTCCAGAGCAAAGAAGAATGAAGAAAACCAAAGATTCATGGAAACAATTAGTCCAAGAGACTGGTATACCATGCAGTCCTCAGCCTATATGACGGTGAGACCAGAAGAACTAGATGATGGCCAGCTACCACTGACAACCACTCGGAGGGGGGTCTATGTAGGAGATCCTGGATAGAGTAGGAGAACAATGTGGAAAAAAACTCAAAATCATTTGGGGGGAAAAAAATAAAAGGGACCATGTTTGCTGGTCTCATAGAGCCTGGTGGAACCACTGAGACTATGGCCCCTAGCTGCCCTTTAGGTCTGGAAGATTTTTGCTTCAGGGTTTGGCTGTGGCTTCCAGCCAAACAAAAGGCAGGCATATGAGGTGAACATTTACCTGAGGTAGATACACTCCTTGGAGAGAACAATCATGGGAGAATAGAAGGGCTGTGTATGCACAGGGACATAGGGGGCAGGAGTACATGGAGGGAAGGGACACAGGGAAGAGGTAACTGGGGAAGGAAGTGGGAGGGGAGCTGTTGCATTGGGGTAAATTGTAGTCAACGTCATGAGACAAAATGTGTGTGAGCTGCTGTATGGAAAGTGAATTTGCTCTGTAAACTTTCACCCAAATCACAACAAAATAAATAAATAAATAAGAATTTTACCACTGAACCCCCACTGCCTCATTTTTCTAGCAGGAGCTAAAATTCTTCAAGAGCATGTGGTGGGTATGTTTACTTCCTTGACCTTATCTGCTGTAGCCTCCTTCACTCTCTGCCCATTCCTCCACTCCGCTTTCTGCATTTTCTACATATCCAACTTTATTTCCAGGTGGTTCTGACAACCATTTGATCCTTGTGGATCTCCGTTCCAAAGGCACTGATGGTGCAAGGGCTGAGAAGGTGCTAGAAGCCTGTTCTATTGCCTGCAACAAGAACACCTGCCCAGGTGAGACTCTTCCTTGGCCTTCTCTTCCTTCCATTTCCTATCTGCCTCTTTTCTGGGCCAAGCTGTATCTGTGGGTTTTTTTTTGTTTTTTTTTTGGGGGGGGTGGGGCAACATGCTTTGTATTGAGGATAGACATCAGGCGACCTGAAGGGATAGATACTATCCTGGGTGGGTACTGAATCCAGACTCTTTCCTGGTCCCTCCAGCAGGGAGTGGAAGGTACTGAGGTACTTGTAGGAGCACGTATATTTAGGTGAGTGAAGCAGGGATCTCTTGGGCACAATGGGTTGTATTAATAAAATTGTTGGAGATACATCCTAGGCCCAGCCAGATTTTAGCTTCATCTTTAGAAGAAAGACCATGTAACAGAATACTACGTGGCTTACTCTAAAAATGAGGGGCCAAAATGTGATTTTCCCTCATCTGTGGTGCCTTGGGCTGTGCCCCTAGTTTTTGAGTCAGTAGTACTCTAGCTAGACCAATCCAGTACCCATAGGCCAATTCTATATTGTCCAAGTGTATTTGAAAATGTTTGGTTGTGAGTCGGGTATGGGTTAGAGACAGAGCCCCATTGATCTTGAAGGTGACAAAAGTGCACTGCGGCCCAGCGGACTGAGACTGGGGACCCCAGCACTGACATCCCGAGGACTTTTGGAAAAAGAGTTCCAACAAGTAGCCCACTTTATTCACAGAGGTAAGAATAAAATTTTGGTTTGCCATACTTTATTGGGTACCTGAAAGCTGTGATTGTAATCATGGATGGTTTAGAAACACCCCAGCCAATAAGGGACATATCTGTCTCAAGGCCAAGTGTTGGGGACAGGAGACAGCAAAATACCACTTCAGCAAACCATTCTGTCTGAGGGGCTTATACATTTGTCCTGCTGTCCTTGCTAAAGTAAACATTAATATCTGTAGGTGTATTGCATTCACCAGCTCTTGGGGACATTTTGACAGTTGTGCTTTGGACTCAGACCCCTGTTCTCCTTAGTGAGTCTAGAGCCATGATTCTCTCTCCTCTGCCCCATGGTTTATGGCTTCAATGGAGTGGCATCACCTCTCTGCTAGTCAAGATGTTTATTTGTATCCTGTCTGCACAGGGATAGAGCTGACGCTGCAGATTCAGAAAGATGTTGGGGCGAAGGCCACTCTGAAGGAATTCAAGGAGAAGCTAGCAGACGATGAGAAGCACCAGAGCGCCATCAGGGCTCTTCGGGAGGATGTAGAGAATTTTGCTTCCCTCTTCCCTCTGCCTGGCATGCCTGACTTCTAAAAGGGCTGCCCACTCACTCCTGTACAGAGCTAGGAGGGCAGGCACCATCAAGGAACCTCTTGCTTTGGGGCTAGAGAAGAGCTGCCCAAGCAGGGACTCCTTTTGTCTCTGTGCCCTTGGAGAGGGTTCCTTCCATATATATATATATATTTTTTTTTTTTTTCCACCTTCTCATGTACCACAAATCAAGTGTCTTTAAAGCCCACTGTTAGTGATTCTGGGACAGGCTGTTAAGGGGTTTCAGTTTGAACTACACTTTCTCACACCAAAAACCAAAACCAAACCCACTGCCACTGAGTTGATTCCAACTCACAGCAATCCTATAGGGCAGACTAGAACTGTCCCATAGGATTTCCAAGACTGTAAATCTTCACAGAAACAGACTGCTTCATCTTTCTCCCACGAAACAGCTGGTGAGTTCATATCACTGATCTTTTGGTTTGCAGTCAAATACTTTAGCCACTGCCTTTCTCATACAGCTGCCCCTAATTACTGTAGAAAAATGAAATACTGTTTGGCCATTTTAGCCTTAATTCATTTGGATGGACAATGTTGTAGGGCAAAACTATTAGACTCAGCCTTTTCTGATAGTTATTGGGCTTTCCCCTGAATTGCTGCAGCAGACAAAAAAAAAAAAAAAAAAACCAAAGTTAATACCTTGTAAAAGCTGCCCATTCTTAATGTTTTGTTACCCAGTGGGATGCCAAAAGCAAAACAGAATTTTGACCATTTTAAGAGGGAAGTTTTTCAGACACTTCTGCTGTGTGCTTTAAACCAGAATTATAAATCAGACAAGCCCATACAAGGTGCTACCCAATAGGTGGGAGGGCTACTGTCAGTAGCTGAGAGGATATTGTGTTTTTGGTCTCCTTTGTCCTCCACACCAGCTGAAATGCCCCAGAACCACCACCACCCTCCTCAGCATCCCAGGTTTGAGAGTCAGTTGGTAGCCAAAAGTGCCAAGTCCCTCCTGTAATCAGGAAACCAAACATCACCTTCCCAAAGACACTTTATTTCTCACAAAGCTGAAGTGCAAAACTTGGATGACCACTTCTAATAAGCACAGTAAGTTTTTAATCACAGAATGTCTACAGGAATCATAACTTTAAAAATACATCCAGTTTTTCATATTTCAAAAATATCCAAACTCAAATAAATTAATTTTTTAAAAAGTACACTTCTCATACTATTTATTTGGCATTTACTCTGGTTAAATTTTTGTTTAGCAACACCTATAAAATGGTACCACACACATCAGTTGAACAACTCCCATCAGCTACTGTGAGAACTGCTGCTGCTTGCATGGTGACAGTCATAACATGGACAGAGCAACATGCAATATTAAAATAGCTTTCTAAAAAAATAATATACGAGTTAATCACAGACTGCTTTTCACTGTAACCTTGAAGGCAGCATTTACTGACCCAACCTTGGCATGTTCACCAACCCAGTGGACTAGTTGGTGATAGGGGTACCCTGGAGCCCTGCCTCCTAGTGCCATCCTGTACACTAGGCCTAGCCACTCTTGGTTTTCACTCCTGTGGGGACAAGGCAGATGCTGTAACCACAAAGGTGTACAGGATGTGCCAGGCTACATCTCAGCCTGCAATTTGGGGGCTGTTACGCTGCCAAAACATGTAAGTTCAGGGAGTTTGCGCCTCCCTAGTTGAGGGTAAGTACTGAAGACCCCTGCTACATGGGGTAAAGTTCATCCCCCTCATATTGGATAGAGCAGTCAACTCCCAGGAAGCCTAGGACCCACGCTGCTGGTGGATTTGCTGCAGTGCTCCTTCCATCACCTCCCTCTTATCTGCCTTCTTCCGTTGCCTTCAACCAAAGCTCAATCCAAAAAAGCCATATTCCATGAGTGCTTAAAGGAGAGAGGGAGAGCCCAGGAAAACTTCAGGTACCAGACATTATCAGCTGAGTAGTTTGCTTTCCAGCCAGAAGTAGAAATCCAACAAAATGCTTTTTTGCTTTTATACTGTTAATACCAAATCTTTTAAAGATCCCAGTTTTATCAAGTGGTGAGGGAAAGCCAGACAGCTAACTGGTTTGCTTTAGGAAGGTGGGAGGCAAAGCAAACAAGACAACTAATTGTTCCCCCAAGGGAGACCAGTTCCTTCCATGGCTGGGCACTTGGACCATGAATTCTCCATCACCTTGAGATGTGCTGCCAGTCCTGCACACAGATGGCTTGTGCAACACTAGAAACTGGCTGGACATGCAACAGTGGGGCTAGGAGGAGGGGAGCATGCATTTAGCATCAGTAGATGTGGGCAGTCTTCATGCAAGATGTCCAATAAGCAGAGGGTGCCCTTTCCCTTGAGCAACCACTGCAGGAGCTGCAGCAGCCCTGGAGGTGAAGGGCCCACTAGCCCCTCTAGGATTTTTAAATGAGATTTGTTTGGGGTTGAATTGACAATGCTTTAGACACAGCCACTGGTCTAAAACAAGTTACAGGCTGAGTGGAAGGCAGGTGAGCTACCTTGGGCCATCCCTAACTTACATGCAACGTGTCTAACTGCCAGCCTTAAAGTAAATTATGGAAAGGTAACAACTAAAATCCCAAATTTCCACCATTGGACCAAGGCTCCGAGGGAAACAGATGTGAGGCAGGAGCTCAGGTAAGAGTGTTACACATGTCATACAGGCTAGAAAAGGCTTTCAGCTTGATCTCTAAAATGGGGCTTCCAAAAATCAGTAGTGCATCATTGCTAGCCTGATGATGTTTTCCTTAGACTGCTTTTAAAGGGGCAGGAGGAGGAGTAATGGCTTGTAGGTAAAGATGAAACCTCAGACGAGCCTGAGAGTTTGAGTGCCAAGCCCTTCAACATGATAGCTGTGATTGAAGTAATATCTATTTTCTCGAAGTGCTATTTTTAGATTTATTAAGACTTACTCACCTTATTGAGGAAAAAACTCAAAATAGAAGAAATTAGCCCCATTACATAGGTCTCACCACCACTAGCAGTTGTAGATGCAAGTCTTTTCTTGCAGGTTCAAGTTCTACAAAGTGGAGTAGGGCTGGGAGGGAACAGAGCTTCAAGATACCAAATACCTCTGCCTGAACTGTGACTCAAGTTTAGTACTACTTCAGTATCCCTTTAAAAACTAGGATATTTTGTATCAAGTAATCCTTTGAAACTGCCACACTGGAAAGGTACATTTTTAACCAAAATTTCCATGCTGGAATTCAACCACTATTCAGTAAAGCCATTTTTACTTTTCAGTGAAGTGAGATACTCCTGGTTTGCCCTTCTGTGGTTGGTTCTGCACAGGAAACATCAGGTCTATTCACCCCAACTGGTCTGTCTTTTGTCTGAGTTCCAAGAACCTTTTGAACATCCTCAAGGCTGAGCCTCTGAGCAAATATCCCCCCAATCAGATGTCTACTTAAGATCACTGTAGTGCATGGCTTTAGCTTTTAGAAGGTCAAGTGGTTGCAGTTCAGTATCTGCCAGAAACTGATCTGCTGCCTTGCTCAGTTTCTGAGGTAAGAAGCAGCATTACCTGTAGGTTTCCACGCTGATGTAAAACTTAGTGACAAAACAGCAATGCTAGTGTCAGTGATCACTTTTCTGTATTTTGTCATTTGGATTCCACAGACCTTTCTTCTCATTAAGATAAAATATTGCACTGCTGTGTCCTTGGATACGTAAAAAGACATGTTAGCCACCCAGTTAGAAAATGAAGCAGCACTTAAAACACCAGGCAGGAGGCTTGGTGACAGGCAAAGTTAGACAAAGAAGAACCGGCTTTCTGTGCAGCCACCTTCACATGCAAAAAATAGACCATTCACATTTAAAAACTGTCAAGACATTCCTGGGGATTCTTTTGTCAGTGAAAATATGCAGTGGGACACAGGTACAAAGAAACTGATGAGATGAGGGTAATACTATCTGCCACAAAAGGGTCTTGATCACAGCCTCCTATGAAAAGCTACAGCCCCCTGAGGGAAAAGGGGGACCTGGCTGGAAAAGCCTGAGGCCAGAAGCCTTGGCGGGCATGTTCCTTTCATACAAACACCTGTGTGACAGAGGGTCACAGAGTTCCGAGAGGCAAACCCTCCCTGGCCATGTGTCTCCTCTCAGTGATGTCAGTGGTGTTCTCCAAAGGAGATGTCAACAGCAGGACTCAAATGACATTGAAGGCAGTGTCTAATACGCACATATACACCCAAGAGCAACCACTGTGGCTGATTTAGCCCCCTGTAATCACATTTTTTTGGGGACAAATTAAAAAGAAGTAGTAACACCCAGAGTTCCCTTCGTAGGGGGAAAAATAGCTTTTAAAAAAAGTTATAAAATCTTCAAGGTTTTAGGAAACAATTCCTTGACACACTTGTTGGCAAGAAGCCACAGAGAGGAGGGAGGCCTGCAGGTGGTGTGGTAAGGGTGGGAAGTAACAGGTAGATGAACAGAGGCTTTTCCTTTTTTCAGTCTGAAAATGCCTTCTGCAAAGGTGGGGCTCAGGTAGAGGAGAGTAGTGAAGACGTGGAGAGACAAGCCTGGCTTCTGTGGGAAACCCCTCCCATGATTACTACCACCAGGTGGACTAATACCCAATCGCCCAGCTAACAGAATGATGATGCTACCTTTTCAACAAGACCCTGTGCGAGGTAGTACAGTGGTTGCAAAGGGTGGATGGTGGTGAGAGGACTGGAAGGGTGGGGAGCATCTGACCTCTGCTGAATTTGAACGTTTCTACAGACCTTTCCCGAAAAGAAAATGATAGCTCATTCCGGCTAGGAAAGGCTGGTGGGCCTCTCCCCACGAAAGCATGGACTACCTGTCTTTTGCACAGTGGTGACAGGCAAAGGCAACACCACCCTGCCCAGTCTCCTGGGTGCTCTACCCCTCAGAGCAGTGTCTCTTCCCACCAGGTACCAGCAGCTCCTGCAGTTGTTTCTGCTGACCAGTTTACCAGCAGCTCTCTCTGGGTGAGGAAGCAAGAACAGGACATGCTCACCCTCCCTTTGTCCTCTGCAGCCTTTGGGGCCCAAGCAGCTGTGATGTCTGCAGATGACCCAGCTGGTGGTGAGCTTGCCCCTCCTCCTCACTTGTTCAGGGGCTTCCAGCTGGGTCTGATTGAGGCCAAGTGCATTCTGTTGTCTCATTTTCCACCTGCTCATTCTGGTACACATGCTGGCAGATGCTCATCCACTTAGGCTCTGGTCTGCTACTACTCGCTCACCCACTGGAGGGACTGCTGGCTCTTCTTCTGCCCTGACTGTCAGTCCTTGGGAAGTGAAGAGCCACTCCCAATCTTGGCCATTCTGCACCAGGGCACCAAGAGTGGCTATTAACTGCCTTTCCAGATGCCTTCCAGGAGAGCCAGGCTCCTATCTCTGCCCACGTTCAACACTCAAGTTGCCCGGAATCATCAGAATCATGGTGGCCACCTTGATTTCCTTCCCACCACCACCACCAAAGTCTAAACAATCAAGCTCAGGCAACTGTTAGGCCATGCTGATCACCTCCTCCCCACCCCCCAAACCTCTCTGCCCTGAGTCACAAGTCTTGGTCACATTGGTTAGGACCAACTTCAGATTTTATACAAAAAGCTGGGGACATAGTCAAACCTGAGCATGGGATGGCTGGTCCCAGGAGACTCCTGTATGTACTGCAGCTTTAGCAGTTCAGCCAGGTACTGGACCACCTTGACATCTTCATTCACCAGACCCAGGTTCAACTTCAAGAAGCTCACCTGGCGACTGGCCACCAGTTCCTGTGTCTCTCGATCATGGGCAGGTAGATGCAGGTGGTGGCAGAAGGTATAAAGGAAGACCTTAGAGCACAGTTGGGTGAGCATGCTCTGTACATGCATGTAGTAGGTGCTTCCCCGCTTAATTTGGGTGCGATGGTCAGCCAAGCGGGTCATGAGAGTGCCTCTGTACAGGGGACAGCGCAGGGTCTTCTTGTCCAGATCCAGAATGCTTGTATAGCGGCTATAGCGGCTAAGGGCCTGGAGGGTGCCAGCACTGGCAGGAGAGGCCACTCTAAAACAAAAAGGCAAAAGTCAGCAGGAAGAGACATACAGGAAGATGGAAGCAGAGCCTGGGAGCAGGGAGCATCCTGACTTCAGGCCAGCTCTGCTCAGCCAGAATTTACTGGCTCTTTCTACAAAACACCTCTGATTATCCTCCTCTTCAGATGGCTCCTTACCACCCTCATGATGGAGAAAATGCCTTGACATAGCCCACAAGCCCTTCCTGGACTGATTCCTGCCAGCCTCTGAGGCCTCATCCATTACCTCCCAACAGGAATCTGCCTTTTGAACCATGCTAAGTTTTCTACAGGGCCTCAAAATCACTGTCCTGTTTGCTCTACCTGGAATGTCCTTCTCTCCTTTTGTACTTGGTTTACACCAGTTAGTAACTGAAACTCTTTTTGGCCTTCCCTGATCCCTCAGTCTGGAACAAATGCCCCTCTCATGTGCACCTGTGCTTCCTTGCTGTGTGACCTTGATCACATTCTTGAACCTCTCAGAATTTCATCTACAAGATGAAGTAATAGAACCTACCTCATAGGGTTGCTGCTGGGATTAAATGAGTTATACTTAGAGGAGTGCCTGTCCCTTAGTAAAAGCTAAGTGCTAAGATTATCATTATTACTATTCATAGCTGGCACTCACCAGGGAGGGTACTGCTGCTTACTTGCCTCTCCTCTAGACAAGGAGCTTCTCAAGAGCCAGGGCTGCGTCTGCCTTACTCTAGTGCCCTCATTGCCTAGTACAGGTAGAAAGTGTGGTCCCATGAGGAGAGGAAACTGAAGTGGTCACCAGCCTTAGTAAGCTGCTTCTTAACAAGCCTCTAGATCATTTTTCCAAGAAGCTCTAATGGTGCAGTGCCTAAGGCATTTGACTGCTAATCAGAAGGTTGGCAGTTCAAACCCACTAGCCATTCTGCAGAAGGAAGACAGGGCAATCATTCTACTTCTGTAAAGATTTACCACCTTGGAAACACAGTGGGGGTTGCTATGAGTCAGAATCGACTCAATGGCAATGGGTTTGGTTTGGTTTAGATCAGTTTTCCAGAGCCGGGAATTACCCTGTAGAAACTGGCTGACCAAACTGTACAGTCTAATGTTGTTGTTATGTGCTTTCAGGTTGGACCCAACTCATAGCATCCCCTCCTTGGGTTTCCAAGGCAGTATCACTATGGAAGTAGATTGCCCAACCTTCCTTCCGAGGAGTGGCTGGTGGGTTTGAACCACCAGCCTTCTGTTAGCAGTCAAGTGCCTTAGGCACTAAGCAACCAGAGCTCCCACTTATCTAAGACATAAGCTATAAGTTATACCCTATTCTTAAAAGGGTTGACAATAACTTGGGGCCAAGATAGTCTCACAACATTTTTCCTTTTGGGTTTTATTATCTTCTCATATAATTAATAAACCTTATTGGACACCTACTGTATACCAGGCACTGACCTGGAAGCTGAAAATAGAATGAAAATGAGCCAGGAATTCTTATCCTGAATGAGCTCAGTATGTTGGGAAGAAGAGACCTGTACACAGTTCCCTGATGAGAAAGGAGACATGGGCGAGGTCCCAAGTTCCCTGAGAGAGACCTGTGATTGGGAAAATAAAGGTGGGTCATGGAGGAGCTGGCACTGGAGCTGGACCTTGAAAAAAGGGTGGGCTCTGGAAGGGCAGAAGGCATTCCAGACCCAGGTAAGTCCCAGCAGCAGGCAGGAGGCAGAGACTCACACAGGCCATGTGTCAGAGTACCATCAGAGTGCCCTGTCAACATCCCTAAAAGGTGCCCACTGCTCTGCACTGGCTCTGCCTGCCAGTGTGGCTCAATATTCTTGTCTGCACCAGGCTATACACATCATATTTGAGCCCTGTCAACAGCTCCAGGTGAGGGGTACTATGAGCTCCAACTAAGAGACATCCATAGGATCTGGTGAATGTAGGAGTAAGGTCAGATGACTGGTCCATATTCGCACAACTGCTAAGGGTCAGTTGTGTAGAGGTGGAGCTCACAATACCCTCCAGTGCCCGTTTTAATGGACACAGACCACACCGCTATGGACTTTAACCTCGTGTTGCTTGACCTCCATTGTTTACCCGGGGTTTCTCTGGATTTTAGTTAGGGGAGTTATGGCAAGTACAATTTCCACTCCATTTTTGGCCCCTCAGTTGATCCTCAGTGACATGTCCTCCATAGACCCCTGCCTCATTGTCCCCCTGCCTGAACAGGAAACTCTGGGGGAAGATATCCCCAATTACTACCATCAGTGCACACTTAAGGTTTGAGAAGGAAAGTTTAATGGGAGAAATAATAACTCTCCCACTTGGGATTCTTTTCAAACATCTCAATTCACTGGGTCTCTCTGGCTTTTGAGGGGAGAGAAATACATGCTTAAAGAGTCTGTTTTCCAGGATGCTCCCTGAAGTATGGCTATGAGAGCCATACTCATTCTCTGTGTCACTGGCCTGCTTCCTGGCACAATCTATGTCTGTGTCCCCTGCTTGTATCTAAGAGGAGACTGGTCAGCAGGGATCAGATGCAAGAGGCTCTCTGACAGACTTTATCATGGAGTAGGTCTCATTAGCTCCAGTTGCAGCTGAGGAAACAGCCTCAGAGAGGCCAAGTTGCCTGACTCCAGGTCTCATAGCAGTGATGGAATTGTGGCTGGAGCTGTGGCTTCAGGGGCTGAACCTGAAGGTCATGCTCTTTCTCTCATCTGCTGCCATGATTGACTCACCTTGTAATTCTGGCACCAGGCACAGTGCTTGCACTCAGACCTCGATAAACATTTGGCAAATGACCATTCACTGACCCAAGCCTCTTACTTCCTACAGAAGGAACTAAAGCCTAGAGTGCTAGAGCAACTTGCCCAAAATGCACCCCGTGAATGAACTGGCATTAGAGCCAGGACCAGCACGCACCCTCTCTGGTTTCCTGGCACCCACGTGATCTTTAATAGATCCTCAACAAATGACTCAATCCCTACATGGTAATGCATTTGCTTAGATCATACCATGACTACCCCAGGTAAAACCTAATGCAGTAAGGGCTACAGAAAGCTCCACAAGACTTCCATAAGAAGAAATAACTTCACTAACCTTAAGGATTGAGGAGAAAGTTGGGAAATTAAGAATTCAATTGTTGATTAAGGTCTGAAAGAAATTCAGTTGACTTTTTTCTATGTAATATAGGCAGGACAGACAGAGTCAGAAAGGATTTTGATGATCACTTAGTCCTATGCCTTTGTTTTATAACAATGTGAGTGGGCCTTAGACATGTGAAATTACATGTCCAGGATCACAAAAGGAGGAAATTGAACCCAGTGCATATATGGAGGAAAAGAGCCCCTTAGCAAGACTTAGCTCACTGAGTCAAAACAAAACTCACTGCCATCGAGTCGACTGCAACTCATCATGACTCTATAGGACAGAGAACTCCATAGGGTTTCCAAGGCTGTAAATCTTTAGAGAGCCACATTGCCTCATCTTCCTCCCATGGAGTGGCTGGTAGATTTGAACCACCAACATTGTGGTTAGCAGCCCAATGCTTTAACCACAGTCCCAGCAGAAGTAAGTAGCATGGGGAAATGAAATCCAAATGCAGAGAGGATGAGAAGAGACTGCTGCATTTCCTCAGACAGGCTCCTTGAGCAAACACTACAGTGAGAACCAAAGGATACCCCACTATCCCTCTGTGACAAATGCCCTCTCCAAGGACTATCACAACCAGCAGATCTTTTCTCAGTCATGTATAGAAAGCACCTGAGGTCTCAAATTTTGCTGCACACAGAAAAATTCCATGTCTTACCCAAGCTCAACTGATTTAGTCTCTGAGGATGATGCCCAGAAATCTGTGATTTAAAAAATTCTCCAATAATTCTAACACAGCAGAGTTGGGAACCACTTAAGAACTGCAACCCCCTCCCATGACACAGAAGTGAAAGGGGAATAATTTATTAAAAGTTAACACACTGATTTGAGGCAGGACCCCATCTGGAAGCCAAAGATCTCTGAATCTGGGCCTACCGCATCCAAAGAGATGTGCATTTCAAGCCTCCCTAATCTCTATGTGGACAGGGCCCTTCCCCACCACCTGTAACCAGTTACCTCTGCAGGCCAATAAGCTTCCACTTCTGAAAATCTGTAATGTGCAAAGGGGAGGAGATCCAGTGCTTCACAGGCTTGGCATAGCGGCCATAGTTGGGTACAAAGATGGAAAGTGCCGTCACGAGCTTTCTGACAATGGCTTCATCCTCCCCCAGGACCACGAGTGTCCTCCCACTGAGCAGTGAGTAGATGGCTGGGTGGGCAAAGGGGTACTGGCGGATGAATTTTAAGGCATTCTGGCCAGCCCTCTTTTTATGCCTTTCAGAAGACGGGCCAGTGGGATGCAGAGACGAGGGAGTCCTGTCTGAGCTGGTGGAAGCTGCGCTGCTCACATAGCTGGTGGAGTCTGAGTAGTTGTCCAGGCTGGTCTTACTGATATCCCGGCTGGCCAGCAGGCAGCTAGGGTCCAGCTCATAAGGAGGAAAGCTTTCAGAACTGTTGCCTTGAGAAGAAAGATTAACATTTTCCACTGCAAAGTCCACGTGGAACCCCTGGTCCTTCTGCCTATAGCATTGTGGGGGAATGTTCACCACTCCATCATCATCAACGAGCTTGTGAGCTGGAGTAGGGAGCGGCACCAGCAGGGTGTCGCTCTCCTTCCCAATACAGCAAGAGGAGTCGGTTTGTGATGGGGTGTTTTCCACACTGCCCTCCTTTTCCTCCCTCAGATCTGGGGAGCTGGTACTTGCCTGGAAGTGGATGGCCCCTTCATTGTCATCTGCATAAGATTCCTCCTCATTAATGGCACTTGGGTAGCTGGCCTTAAAGTCATCAGGGATGAGAGCCTCAGAGGGGCAGGTGCTGAGGACTTCAATACTGTCCTCACTGATGGTCCTGTGGCTAACTGCCTTGCTCCGCACCACCTGAGGGCTCAGTGGTACTGTGAGGCTGGTCAGGCTATCAGACTTAGGCAGCACAGAGGTGGACTTCTCTGTTCCTAGAACCTCAATGCTTTCACCACTGCTGATACTCCCTTTCATGTCCATATCTAGGTAGTCCAAGTTCTCTTGGGGATCAAAACTACTCACTTCTGTCACCTCCACTTCCTTGTACTCCTCATTTCCAAGTTCCTGCTCCATCTTGATCAGCACTGATTCCACGCTGGACTTGTAAGAACCAACACTAATTAACACTTTGGGAATCAAACATTCTTCGAGAGACCTGGAAGGTGGCCTGTCTCGACTAGGCTCAAAGGATGTGCTACCTTGTTTCTCTACCACCCTGTCAATAACCTCCACAAAGTCTTCAAAGAGGAAGTTTGTTATGTGCTGTTGCTTTAGAAGGGCTCTGTCAATCCGGCTAGTCAAGAGGTAGCACAGGTCTCCTCTGAACATATGCTCAATGTGGCTGAGCTGAGCCAGCGTCTGGGTGAAATACTCAGTGTCACAGAGCTCTTCCAAGGTCTTCAGCTTCTTGTCAAAACACTTCGTGGACTTTGCTTTGATGAGTTTTGGGGTATACGCTGGTCTGCTAGTGTAAATTTCTGTGTCAGCAAACTCATCAGGGTTAGAGGTAGTGGATGCCTGGCCAGCCTGCTCCTGGGTGTGCTCTGCCTCCCCAGCACTCAAATCAGACTCCTTCAACTTCCGATAAGGATATGAGCGGATCTGTTTCAGCAGGTCTTGATGTTCAATGATGGACTTCTCCACACTGGCCAACTCATTGGCTTTCTCAATCGCCTGAGATGAGTAAAAGCCTTTGTCATTGGCTTTCTTCTGAATCTCAGTTTCTGTGTGCAGCACTGTCCTGGTGTAATCCAAGTCTTTCAGCTTTTTTTCAAGTTCCCCAGCAAATGCCTTTCTGTTGCCTGTCTTCAAACACTCAGAAGCTTTAGAAAATTCAGCCGAAAGCTCCTGAAACTGCTGCATGATTTTGTGCTGGTCTGCCGAGATATAAGCCATGCAAAAGGGCCTCACGAAGCCACGAGCCTCCAAGTCATACAGAGTAAGGTGGTGCACATATGCAAAGGCTCCCTCCTTGGAATCGCCCAGCACCACCATGGAGTCTTCCACAAAGTTGAGCTTGGGATAGGCAGAACCAGGGGGATGGCCCACAAAGGAGGCCTGGTAATCCACAGACATGATCCGCAGGGAGAAATAATTGAGATCAAAAGTGCCAAAAACTTTGGTGTCATTGGGGATGGTTAGCAAGGGTTGGGGTCCCACCTGCTCAGAGAACTCGGAAATAAGAATGAAGTCCCTCGAGAACTTTGCCCCAGACAGTTTGGACCATGGGTTGGCTCCCTGGCTGGCAAAGGGGTACAGCGGCACAGAGTACTCCTCAGGTAGGGCCGGTTCATTGTAAGGCTCCTCCTCGTACTCGTCGTCTTTGGTAAAGGCTACCACATCAGGGGCGCTGATCATATTTCCAGATGTGTGGAGAGAACATGGAGAGAAAGTGGAAAAGAATGCTGGGGTAGTTAATGCTAGGAACCTGGGCTTCTGGAGGAGGAAGCTAAATCCTTGTGGCCTTCTTTGAGCCCTCAGGGATCCTAGGCTTCCTGTCACACACTCGAGGACTCAAACTCCCCCAGCCACCTCAGAGCTGTAGCTCCTCCGGAGCCCTCGGCGGCTTCATGTACTCCAAGGCCTCGGACCCAGAGGACTGGGGAGGCTGGTTGCCTTCCTCCTCCCGCAGGGAGCGCGGGCTGCGTAAGGCACCTGCAGCGAAGTCACCGGCACTGCACTGAATCCACCGCGCCAACAACAGCTCAGCCCGGAACGGGTGCCTAACACGGGATTACGGGTCGCCGCAGGGGTCAGTTAAGCATTGTTGCCCCCACAGCCTGAGGGCAGAAACCGTTGGGGCTCCTTGGACGCCACAACCCAGAGACAGCTACCGCGGCGCCGCCATCTTCATATCACATGACTCACGGCCTACGCGCCCCGTGACCCGGAAGCATTCGCATGGACTTCCGAGTAGGCGCGGAAGTGATTGTGAGAACGCGCGGCGGGGGTAAGGAGCCAAGTGGGGCTGCGAAGAAGAGGAACGCGCGCGCAGAGCTAGGGGCGCTCGTCGGAACGGCCCGGCGCTCTCCTGGCAGGGTGGTGGGGAGGCAGCTGGGACGTGGGTGGTTCCTAGAGGCGCTCGCCCCCTCGCTGCGGGCGGCGGGCGGACCTCAGCACGGCTCTCCAGCATGCGCGGGGTCCAGGGATGATTTTCCTGGCCGCCTGCTTTGCGCGCCGGTGGCTGCCACAGCCCGGATCCTGTGGCTTCTCCCGCGCCGCCATGGAAGTGGCCTTCCGAGGGGTGCGGAAGGTCCTCTGTGTGGCCGAGAAAAACGACGCAGCCAAGGGTATCGCTGACCTGCTATCTAACAGTCGTATGAGACGGGTAAGAAAGCGCATTTCCAGTCCTCTGTGTCCCAGAGGCTGGCCCACTGAGCGAAACATTGCGGTGGGCGCCCGGAATAGAAATTGAGGCTACTGCTCTCATTTCTGGATGCCTCCTCTTCCTCTCTGGGCTATTGTAGTAGCCTCCTGGGGGGTTTCCCAGGCGTCAGGCTTTCCTCGGACGAGTAGACATTTATAAAGGTATTTAGGACTTTTCACGTATTATGTACTGAAAAAGCTTTGATCCTCTGTGCACCTCCCCTACCCGGCAGCAGTTCCCTAGCTTGTCTGCTCTTCAGAATCGCCTGGGGTATTGGCTAGTCAGGGAAGTTTGGGAACCACTGATCGAACTGCTATAATTGGGTCTTTTCAGTCCTCAGCGATCATTCCCTAGCTTACCTAGCTCTCCCCATCTTCTGCCATATCCCTCCACCGTGCAGCCCGCTGACAGGGCAACTCTAGGGTTTGGGGATCAGACTTCCAGAGACATACAACACAGGCAAGACAAACAGATGCACTGGAGGCACAAAGAAAAGGATAGGTAAGAAAAAGCTTCCCAAAGAGATAACATGGGGACCTTAATCTCTAGGACAACGGATTCTGAAATGGTTTTCAGAAGAATTTCTAAGCAGGTCGTGAAGTTCCAGCTCCTTTTTTCTTTCTAGGTTGGAGTCCCTAGGTTGCTGTGTCAAGGGCAAGGATAGTGGGCGAAGGTTGTGTGAGTGCCAGCTAAGAGCTTCACCTTTCTCCAGGACCAACTCCAAGGTTGTCTACTTCTAGAGTTCTTGAGAATGGCACCTCTACCTTTAAAAACCAAAAAACCAAACTTACAGCCTTCAAGTCGGATCTGACTCATAGTGACCCCCTCCTTGGGTTTCCTACACGGTATCACTACGAAAGTAGATTGCCCCATTAACTTCTTATCCTTCAGGACTCTGCTTAGATGTCTCTTCTTCAAGGAACCTTTTCCTGCACTCTTCCCTCCCCCACTAGAGCAGGGACCCTCTCTGATTTGCTGCCATAGCATCTGTTCTGGTTACCTAGTGCCGCTCTGACAGGAATATACCACAAATGGGATGGCTTTAATAAACAGGAGTTTATTCTTACAAATTTGGAGAGTTTAAGTCCAAGTTCAAAGTGCCAGGGTCTAGGGGCTGGGTGAAAGCTCCTCAGCCTTGGGTTTCACCTCTGCCTCCAGCTCCCAGCCCATTGAAGCTAAAGGCGTTTCTTCACTTGGACAGCTGCTGAGGCTGAGAAGCCCAAGGTTGACAAATAAAATGGCATAGTCTCGATGTTACCAGACCACACTGCAGGCCATTAATTTAAGTCCACTGTAAGTCCCAAGGTTGGCAGAGCATGGCAGGCTGCTGAACAAGGACATGGCTACCTGCAGGGTCCAAGCGTGCCATAGGCTAGAGACCATTCTCCAAGGCTTCTGCTTATATACAGGAAGCAGATCACATTCCCTAAGGCAGCTACTCAGCTGCTTGTGGTAGATCCCACCATGGAGTTGATTGCCAGTCTCATCATGGAGAATAACTACCACCAGCTGCCCAGCCAAATTGACACACAAACATAAACACCACAGCATCCTGTTCTTGTACTTGGACCTACCCATTTCAGTTAAATAATATACTGTGTCTTATTTGATGCCTTTCACCACCCCTCCTTAGACTGGCAGGGCCTTTGTCTTTTTTATTCATTGCTGTATTCCTAGTGCCTACTATCAAGTCTGGAAAACAAGAGACTAAATTAATCTGAGGAGCTCTGGTAGCGTAGTGCCTAAGGCACTTGACTGCTAACCCACCAGCCACTCCTCAGAAGGAAGGTTGGGCAATCTACTTCCGTAGTGATCCTGCCTCGGAAACTCAAAGAGGGGTCGCTATGAGTTGGGGCCGACTGGAAGGGACATAACAACAATAACAAATGAATCTGGTAAATTTTACCAGGCAATGAAAACAGTATGTGTGAAGAACAGTAGATTGCAGCAGCTTGACATGTTGAAAGCCAGTGAGAAGTTAGTTAAGCACATAGGAGGAGGGTACAGGGAGATAAGCAAGAGAGTCAGCTGAAGGCAGGTCACGAGGGCCATTCCTAAGTATAAGGGGACAGTCTGTGGTGGTTTGTGTGTGTGCGGTAAAATTCAGAAAACAGAATACTGTTTTATCCATGTTAAAAGTGTACAGTTCAGTGGCATTTAGTACATTTACAATGTGTTCAATCACTACCACGTCTTAGTTCGAGAAATTTTCATCACTCCATGTGGAAACCTTGTACCTATTAAGCAGTCACTGCCCACACCCCCGCTTACTTAACATAATATTTTTGCAGTTCATCCATCTTATAGCATGTATCAGTACTTCATTCCTTTTTATGGCTGAATACTCTATGGTGGCATAGTGCCTAAGGTATTTGACTGCTAACCAGAAGGCTGGCGGTTCAAACCCACCAGCCACTCTTCAGAAGGATTAAAAATATAATCTGTTATTGATTATATTTTTTGGTGTCCTAAGAGTGTGTTGCCCAATCTAAGGTCATGAAGATTATCCCTATGTTTTCTTCTAAGAGTTTTATGGTTTTAAATCTTAAATTTTGATACATTTTGAGTTAGTTTTTGTATATGATGTGGAGTCCAATTTTATTCATTTGTATATAGCTATCCAGGAATCATGGAACCATTTGTTAGATTATTCTTTCCTCATTGAACCCTTGTTAAAAATCAGTCACACGTAGAAACTGTTGAATTGGTGTGTTTTGCTGTGTGTATTCTCAACAACAACAAAATTAATGAAATATGTTGTTATGTGCCGTCAAGTCGGACCCCATTCTTAGCGACCCCTTCTTGGGTTTCCGAGGCAGTATCACCATGGAAGTAGATTGCCCAGCCTTCCTTCTGAGGAGTGGCTGGTGGGTAGAACCGCTAGCCTTCTGACAGCAGTCAAGTGCCTTAGGCACTACACTACCAGAGCTCCCTAATGAAATATAAGGGGGAAAAAAATCAGTTGACTATAGAAGTAAGGGTTTATGTCTGGACTCTCAATTACATTCCACTAATCAGTATGCCCTTCCTAATAACAACAGTACCATGCTGTATTGACTACTGTAGCTTTTTCTTTTTTTTTTTTTTTTCTTTTTTTTTTTTTTTTTTTTTTTGGATGGAACACTTACATAGAAAAGAGACAAAGCAAGGTCAACTTCAATAGGGGTATCCGTCCCCTGTAGCCAGTGGATCTTGTTCTGAAGCAGAGAGATAGTCTGCATGTGTTCTCTTGCTGCAGGAAAAGGAAGACCCCATTCCTTCCCTGCTGAGAACAGTTATAGATGTAGAGTTGGCCAGGTGCTGTTTGATACACATACTTTGCTGAGCAGTTCCTGGGAATGTTGAAAATACTCAGGGCAAGAAATACAGGATCTGCTGATAGGCCACCTGCTGCTGTGGAATGTGCTTTAGTTCATACTCACATCCTATTCAGGAAACCAGGCTGACATATCTGGTCCTAAGCACAAGGTTCATTTGTGAGTCAGAGAGAAAGGCAACAGACTGCACCTGGACAAGCTCCCCTTACGTAGTCATAAAGGGAAGAAATATGTAATTGTCTAGAATAAATGCAGGTATAGTTCTTAGTGCTAAATGCCTTAGCTTTTTTATTTTATTTTTGCAGCATTCCTTCCCCTCCTCTCCCACCCCTGGTAACCAACAAAAAAAGAAAGTTTTCTTCTATACATAAACCTTTCCTTGACTTCTTACAATAATGAACTAATACAATATTTGTCCTTCTGTGATTGACTTATTTCATTCAGCATAACGTCACCATAAAGTTCATCCACGTCATGCAGTGTTTTGCAGATGCTACATTATTCTTTAGTATTGTATACTATTCCATTGTATGTACCATGGTTTGCTTATCCATTCTTCTGTTGATGGGCACCTAGGTTGTTTTCATCTTTTTTGCTATTGTAAATAGTGCTGCAATGAACATGAATGTGCATGTATCTGTTCTTGTCCTTAGCTGAGCACTTGTTTAGTATATGTATTTAGTAATGTGATTGCTGGATCAAACGGTATTTCTTTCTTTCTTTTTTTTTTTTTTTGGTGATTTGTGTGAAAATTTACAGAGCAAATTCACATTCCATACAGCAGTTCACTTACACTTTGTCTCATGACACTGACCACAATTCACTGCAATACAACAGCTCCCCTCCCACTTCCTCCCGACAGCCACCTCTTCCCTGTGTCCATCCCTCCATACACCCCTACGCCCTGGGCAGTCTTGCTGTGCATAAACGGCCCCTTTTTCTCCCATGATTGTTCTCTCCAAGGAGTGTATCGACCTCAGGTAAATGTTCAGCTCCTATATCTGTCTGTTGCTTGGCTGGAAGCCACAGGGGTGGGTTCAATTCCAGACCTGAATGGCAGCTAGGGGCCATAGTCTCAGTGGTTCCACCAGGCTCTATCAGACCAGCAAACATGGTCCCCTTTTATTTT